TTTTTTTTTTTTTTTTTTTTTTTTTTTTTTTTGCAGATGTTATTAAAGGATGACCGAGCTTGGTAGGTAGCCATTAAGCGCTGCATCTCCGCTTTCGGACAGGATCCAGAAGACGAATATGAGGAGTTCAAAGAGGGCAGACGTGTTCATTATGGTGCCTTGTAAGGCTCTGGTGAGGACAGTCTTTTTTATAAGGTTTTTTTTTTTTTTTTCATTTTTCAGGCGTAGTGGGTGACATGATTCGTCGAGTACCTTTGTTTATTAGAAAATTATCATCTATTCTCTGTGGGGGATTGTACACTATGTACATCATGATGCATGAGGGTGAAAAAAGCGAGGAAGATTTTTTTTTTCGGTTTTTTTTTTTTTCGGTTTTTTTTTTTTTCGGTTTTTTTTTTTCCCTTCGTTTTTTTGGTTACCCTATTTAATCGGACTACTATTTGATCTGCAGGTTGACTTTGAGCCCATGACCTTTTTAGGTATGTTGCGCCTTCAACTCTCTCTTTTCTGCTTTGGACGTTCGTACCTTCATTCTGTATCATCTCTTCGGGGCCTCGATTAGTGTTTTTACTCTTTACATTTTGTATCAGGTGGTTTTTTTTTTTTTTTTTTTTTTTTTTTTTTTTTTTTTTTTTTTTTTTTTTCCATTTTCTATCAGTTGAGTTTGACTCAGCGACTTGTTTGACGTTGTACACCCTTCTGTTCTTTGTTTTCGGATCTGAACATATCTATGGATCGAACTCCTTCATTGTGATGGTTGATGCTTTCTAGGCGCAAAGATACCGCGAGCCTGTGGGGTCCAGACCTAATAGTATTTTTTTACTTGCAGTTTTCTTTCGATTCGGAGATTTGCGGTGCGAACTTCTCTGGAAGTGAGAGCTTTTGCTGTGTTTGCTGTGAATTCGCAAGTCTCAGAGTTCTTATTTTTATCTCACAAAAAAAAAAAAAAACCTCTCACTTCCAGCGGCGGGCAACGCCTGCACACTACTTTATGTTTCGTGTTTTCTCCAACGTGGTCACACTACAGTAGGGCCGTGACATTTTCAGATCGGATGACAAGTAGCCCCATGCATACCCGAAACCAGAACAAAACCTCGAGAAGTGTGACATGGTTGGGAAGGAGGGAAAGCACACGCGTACTACCCAAGTCCAATCAGTAAACAGGTGATACGCCTTGTATGCAGCCCGACATGGAAATCACACGACTCAAAAGGTGAGATAGATAGCTAGATAGATAGATAGATAGAGATAGATAGATAGATAGATAAATAGATAGATAGATAGATAGATAGAGATAGATAGATAGAGAGAGAGAGAGAGCGAGAGCGAGAGAGAGAGAGAGAGAGAGAGAGAGAAAGAGAGAGAGAGAGAGAGAGAGAAAAAAAAAAAAGGGACATGACCCCAGGTCATGTGTTGTTGGGAACACGTCTAAAGAGGTTGGAACGCAGCTAACTGTGTTGATTCTGTTGAATGTGTGTTCCTTTGTTTATAGCTTAGTGTTTGTTTTATGCTTTTGTTCATTTGCTTGTTTTTTTCCGTGTTTGTTCTTTCTTTGTTGGTTTGCGGTCCGATAAGTATTAATCAGGATAGTAGATAGGGACAGTGGGAATGTCGTTAATCTCCCAGCTCCCCTGCCCTCTACCAAAAAAAAAAAAACGCAGAAAAAAAAACGTCTGCTGCGGAGCAGAAAGGGTATTCAGGTGCAATGTTTGCACCTCGTTCCACCTCCGGTAGGCCCGTTTGGCGCCAAAAAAATACAAAGGTTTGTTCGTGGGAACTAGGTCCCACTGACACGAATTAAGAGATATTGACCGTAGATAGCACAGATCAATGGTCAGAATCTCGTAATCCGTGCAAGTGGGACCTTACCCCGGGGGAGGATCTAGTACGTTTCCCTAATACGGTAAGAACAAAAATTGGATGCGTCAAAAACCGTCAAAAAGGGGGAAAAAAAGAAAAAAAAAAGGGATGCGTCAAAATGGAAATCTCATCGTGACTTTAATGAAAGAAATTTTTTGTTCTTCTCTTTCCGTGTGATTTCTTGTTTCGTACGAACTCTCCTAAGATTACTATCGATATCCTCGACGGAGGCCTTTTGACTCTATTTTGTGGACAGTCACTCTGATTCTACCCTTTCGATGGCTATTCTGCAAACGGTCTTCTAGAACGCTCCTTCATTTCTTTTTCTGTCCCTTTTTTTCATCCTTATTCCCTTGGCACTTTTGATGTTTTCGGCAGCGACCTTTGCTTGGGATTCTCGCTGAAGCCGAACTTCCGATGTCGAGGGGAGTGATGGTCTAACAGGGAGACTATAAAACATGTTCATGTTGGACCTAGACTCTGGTGACATAAAGCTGTGAATAAATTAAGCGTTTGACTTGGATCGCATGTGAAGCGGGTTGAACGACTTGAAGTTATTGCATCTCCCCTTTTTCCTTTAGATAAAGGAAAGTTGAAAGAGATTTTATATTACAAATATATTGTGGCAAGGTCATTTTAGCCGAATGAAGGAGCGATTAGCGCTAACGATGAAAGTGAGATGTCAAGGAGGGATAATTAACGTTTGTAGCATGCTGGAGGGCAACTTGGACTGTTGTCGCCGTAATTTGGTAACAATTGTATACTAGTGAATTAAAAAAAAAAAAAAAGTGATGTGATATTTTGGTAACAGAAGGAACTTAAAGGTTAAAAGCTCCTAGAGAATGTAGTGATTACTAGTGAAGGTCCTGAAGGAAATATTTGATCAAGGGACCAGAGCATAAATTAGCGTAATGCTGAGAAGGTGTGTCAATGTTTGAAAAGTAAAGAACATATTCAAAAACATTTTATATAGGGAGCATCCGGAGCAGAACAATATATTATTTGATGGAAAGAAATTCAAAGAATATTGGTTTTATCAAAATCACGGGGGATCATTGGAAAAATAAGTGTAGCGAAGGTGAGTGAAAAAATATAAATTTTATTAAGACGTGCAATAAAAAAATCGGAGTGATTGAGTTAAGCAACATTAAAAAAAAATTATTGCATTCG